AAGAAACTTACAATTGTTCATCCAAGATCAAGCCTCAACGGCCCTTGGATCAACAAATCTACACCCTACGAAGATAGAATCAGAGGACCAAATTTGAGAGAGATCGTAACCCCAAAATCATTAAACACAAAATATTATTTTGTACACGTTATTCTTGTTTCTTATTTCAAGGAACTTTCGTGTTCACACCAAGCTCTACGAAGTTGATCACAACCAATACTATGTATAAGTCCACTCTTATTTTTCCTGATCTCTCTCTATACATATATAAACTACACACACACACACACACACACAATACACACATATATACACGCAACGTGAGCTCCAGAGAGCATGCACTGCATGCTAGCTCATGTTGGAAAACTAAACAGAGCTTAGCTCTTGTTGGAAAACTAAATAGAGCTTAGCTCCTGTTTATAGGGACATAAAGCCGGCATAATTAGCGTTTTATGGCAGTTAATATGAGATAAGAATGCATTTGATGAATGATATGTTGACAAATGGTTGGGTTTAACAAGTGGCTTTGTAAACGATGGTGTGAAAGGTGGAGGAGTCAACTTATGGAGTTAACGGACTAATAACATGACAGCTGAATTGGTGATAATTCATATAGTTAAGCTGGAGGTGTCATAATATTAGGAAATAGTGGCAGCAAAGATCTTTTCTAATAGTGATCTTGCAAAAATACTTTTATACTAAAATGTATTAATAAATCTAACTAGAAGTAGTATAAATATTAATATACCAAATAAAGCTTAAGCTGATATGTACATAAGATTAAAATACAGGTTCTCACAATTCATTCGTGTCAATCCCCATCTAATTCTGTCAAAATATAAATCATTCACATCTACTTTCATTATACCTTCAATTTTATGAGTTACCGAATTCATTCCAATCCTAGACATAAGACGAGCTCTAAACAAAGGTCTTTGAAATGACATCTTTCAATGTGTTGTTTGAAAATTTTCTAAATGTATTACATCTACTGATTTTCGAGTCTCTTTTCTATATCTTTGTAATGCATTGCTAACAAATTTATTCTCTAAGTTCTATGAAACTTTAAGGGCATGTTTGGGTGAAGAACATTCAAGTTCCAAAACATTTAGGCAAAATTAAGAATAAATAGGTGTTAAAAAGTTGATGAGAGGAATTAAAAATGCACCACATGACCATTACAAATGTATGTAAAAGAGATTTATAAATGACACATTCTAAGTAGTCATTTACAAATTCCTCTCACATTACTTTATAATGCTCATATAGATGCATTCTTAATTCCTCCTATCTAACTTTTTTGTGATCCATTTCTTCATAACTTTGCCTAAATCCCTTAGAATTTAAAAATTCCTTACTCAAACATACCCTAAATCCCTTATTCACCATGTGAACCTTTTGAAAGTCTTTCAGGTTTCTGCCTATGGTTGTCTTCTTCTTCTTTTAAGACTCTGTTTGGGCCTAAATTAATTTTTTGGCCGAATTGAGTCTATCTAGTCTCAGCCCAGTACTACTGCTGGAGTAGCCAAGTCCTAGACAAAGTAGGATTCTCTAAAGACTAAAGTGTGGTTAAGTACTAGATAAAGTAGGATTATTTGAGGATTAGGTATAATCTTTGGATAGAAACTTGGATTGGTTAGGATTCGTTTTGAATGAGATCTGAATTAATCCTCAAACGAGTCTAGGTTCAGAATTCTAATTCAAGAAGAAGAAGGTGAGACTCATTGATAGAGTTTTGGCCGAGAATAATTTTGAGTATATTCAGAGAATATGTCAAGAAATTGGAATATTATCATCATTTTATCACTCGGCAAACTTGGGCATCGAAGAATTAGTTCACTATAAGTACATGAAGGTTTGCAACGTAGAAAATACTTTCAACTTAACACATAAACATACAAACAAATGCTCTACGCGAAACCTTCAGTCTATGCTAAACCTTTTCAAATCCTGAGAAAAAACACTAATTGCTTCAATGACCCTTCCTCAACACATATTATGTTCGGTTGAACATCACTTGGTTGACAAACTAGAGCCATATTTAGTTTGGTTGAACATCACTAGAGTCGTAGAATCAGTTGATCTAGGAGTTTCTTTAGTTTAGTTAAACAAAACTACTTTCAGTTCAGTTAGCTATCTATCCTAAGTCTCAGTCGACAAAGAGTCTATGATTCTTTGGCCGAAAGAGGTCACTTCATAATCTTTTTTCCAACAAAGTGAGGTGTTCTATGGTTGGATATAGGGCTGGGCATGGACTGGGTCGGGCCCAAATTTAGAGAGACCATACCAGACCCATATGAAAATGCAACAGGGCAAGCCGAGGTGGTAATGAAATTTCTGATTTGGGAACGAGACTTTACCCGGCTTGTTTGAAACAAGACAATTCAGATCTGGGTCCACGAGTCCAATTACAATTTTTTAGATTAGCACAAAAGGGACGACAGATGACCTCATTAAGGTCATGTTATTCAACACATAAAAGAAAATGCCAAAGTCGTATTTCCCAATGACAAGGCCGTCACCGCAACTAAACAACCACATACAAATATCGATTAATAATCTTCAAAAATTAGAAATTGCATAAAGAATTTCAAAGCATGGCATGTTGCATAAGAACTCGTCCTTGAGCCAGAATATGGTCGACTGGATAACTCAGGATGCACGACACCAATGGACTTGTCGTTGGCCATGGCAGCCCAATCTTGGATCGTGGCAATTCGGTCATCGATTGAGTCAAGAGAGACGCAGAATAGCCCAAGTCAGACTAGATTGGGTGGTCTGCAGTCGAGTTGAGCCCACCGTCTTCTCCACTCTGGAGCCTCGCAATCTTTGTCTTCTCGAATAGTGAGGTGATGTTGTGACTCGTTTGGTGGGCCTAGTGGCTGCTGTGATGTCAATGCAGTTAATTCGAGGGGTGGCAGGGATAAGAGATTGAGAATAAAGAAGGAAAGTGGGGGAGTTTGGGAGTAGGGGAAGAGGATTGAATGAGTAAAGTAATTGTTATGGTAGAAACAGGTTGGTCTAGGACCTTGGGATTCTAAAATTATAGAACCACCCCTCCCCGCCCTATTTTGTCCCTACCAAATTTGGCCCATCCCCCGAACCTGCCTCGAATCGACAATACCCGCCCCGGTCTGAAGGTCTTGTACCAATTTGCCCACCCCTAATTAGATGCTAAAAAGTGTATTTCAGAGTTTAGGATCGTGAGTTGCAGGTTTAGCAGGATTTGGACGTCGGGATCGTGAGTTGAGGTTTGGCCTAATTTTGCGAAGTTTCTCCGACGAGATTCCGTGAATTTCAGGGCTTAAAAGTGGTAAGGTTTCGTTCTACTTGTTGTAAGCTTCATTTTGGTACCAATTTCATAGAATTTTGGTTGAAAAACGAGTGAGAAACGAAGGTTTGAAAATTTTCCTGTTTTCCGACGACGGCACCGGAGGTGTGCCGGAGAAGAAGACGGAATATTCTTAACGACGTCAAGTTAACTTTAACGGAATCTGTTAGTTTTAACGGAATATTTCTGACGGCGTTAATTGACACCGTCAGTGTGCCTGGTTTGTGGCCGCGCGTGGGGGGCACGTCTGGCCGTGCCTTGGTCGACGCGTGTGACGTCGGAAAATTATTTTAAAAATATGGGGATGTTCGTGAGGTTGGGTAGGTCACGTTGGTGTATTCACACACCCCATTTGAGCATTGTATGAGAAGTTATTACCTAGTTTTGGTTATGTGCTTTAAATTAACGTTTTTATAGTTGTTTCGCATATAGGTAAGACCTATCCCGAGGACAAGCGCAGTCACTCGAGACAAGGGGGTTACAACCCTTCCACATACCAGTGAGTAGGCTTTTGGTTTTCCGTATATACATATATACTTGTGGTTTTTCTTAGAAAATGAAATAGAATGTTTATATGTTTTAAATGTCACGTATAGCGTTTGCCTTTTAATTATGCATTAGTAGTTGCATATATGTATGTTTGGTGCTGCGAACGCACAGGTAAGTGCCAGGTAAGTTATGGTTTATGGCTGTGATTAGTGGTTATGTGAGATGCATAAGGAGCTCAAAATATGCACCCCCAGTGTTAGTGCTCCCGCCCAGAGTAGGGCACAGTCCTTCACGTGATGTTCACCTCCCGCACCACACACTTATCTTGGATCCAAGTTAGGTGCACAGTCCTGTCGTACAGACCATTATAGGTGGTTCCGACTCATAGGTGACCTACGATTATTCACCCAGTCTTCACGTGATCGTAGCACTTGAGCGTATTTATTTACACCCAGTCCTGTCGTACAGACCACTTTAGGTGGTTCCGACTCGTGTGCAGGTATAGTTAGCGAGTTAGGGATTTGAGCTATAGATTCAGCACAGGTCACGTTAGGTGACTCCGGCTGACATGTTATTTGCATTGATTGACATTACCTGGGTTACTTACATTTTATGTGGAGGCATTCGCCATGACATATTTTTTAGCATGTTTTCGATATATGTGTATATTCTATTTTCTGGGAAACTATACAAGTTTTATGGCGAGGGGTTAGAACTTTTGATATTGAAATGATTTTGAAAAGCTTTGTTATTGCCCACTCACACTTTTTGTTTTGCGCCCCTCCAGGTTCTAATTGGTTTGCTCTTTTGGTCGCTTACGAGGAATCCATAACATATCTGACAGATTATCACCAGTGTAGGACCACCTCTGGGTGTGTTTAGTTAGTGTTGGTTCCTCTGGACTGCACTAGGCTCTCGGTGCTCTGAATATTATTTTGCACACTTACGCTTGCACTTGTATGTTAACTACTCTATGTGTAGTTTGGTTTTTATTTATTCGTACTTTTATTATTATTCTTAGCTTCCGCATTGTGCACATGGTTACGTCACCTCCAGTGGCGGATCCAGGATTTTAAACTCGGGGGGTCCCAATAATAAAGGTTAAAAAATTTATAGACAAAAATAACATTGAAAAGTTAAATATAATACATTTTATTCAAAAATCATTTGCATAACAATATTACAAGCTATAAAATCCTAATTCAAGCGTCCACGACGAGGTTTCATGGTCTGAAAATGTTCCATGATAGCTTCATTACCAATACATGAAAATACATCTTTCTCAATGTAAACAACTAAGCTGTCACTCAACCATTGATCTCCCATTTTGTTGCGAAGTGGACCCTTAATGATATTCATAGCGGAAAATGCCCTCTCCACTGAAGCAGTTGCAACCGATAAAACCAAAGCCAACTGAATAAGCAAATATACATATGCAAATGTTTGATGCAACCCTTTCTCCACCATTTTCTTAGCAAGCTCATTAATTCCCCGCAATTGAGAAAAATCATTATCAGAACGCACAAAATGAATGTAAATATCAAGTTGATCTTGAAGTGCCGATCTATCTCGATCCATGAAATCTTTAGGATACATATGAGTAAGGCGAACAAGCTTCTCTTTATCAAAAGCTACAAATGAATCATTCGGACTCAAGCATGCCAAGCAAATAAGCAATTCGGTATTACCTTCAGCGAAGCGATCATCTAATTCTGTAAGTTGGAAATCAATGACCTCGAAAAAGAGCTCCACTTTGTAATGATGATGATTGGTCTTTCTTGGAGCCTTACGCAATGACTTCCCTTGAATGACATATAAATCATCCATATTAGGCACCTCAATTTCATGTTCAACACAAAAAGATGATACTTTATCAACCAAAAGATCAAAATTTTCATCATTCCTCATGCAACGTAGTTGTTCTTTACATGTCTTGACTAAAGCCATTGCATTCACAATCTCTTGATCTTTTTTTTGCAATGCTTGTGACAAATCGTTTGTAACTCCTAATATGGATTTCATAAAAAAGAGGAGGAACACAAACTCAAAAGATTGTAAATCTTTTAATAACCTTTTTGCTTCACCAGCACTATCATTGTAGCAATCTTCAACAATCATGTCAAGCACATCCACCACAGATGAGAACATTGTAATCAAACTAATCAAAGCACCATAATGTGAATTCCACCGTGTATCCCCAGCACGTTTGAGACTAGTTTCTTGATTTAACCCTTGCCCCGTTTCAAGACAATCATTTTCAATAGCTTTCAAGAGATTTTCTTGTTGTTTCTCTCTAAGTGCATCACGACGCTTACATGAGCATCCAACAACATTTACCAAACTATTAGTCAATGTGAAAAAAGCGGCAACATCGGAGTTTTTCTTTGCTACGGCAACAAGAGCTAATTGTAGTTGATGAGCAAAACAATGAACATAGAATGCACAACTTTCTTCATCCAAAATTTTTTTTTTAAGGCCATTGAACTCACCTCTCATATTACTCACACCATCATAACCTTGACCTCGTAGGTTGGAGTAGCTCAAGTCATGTAGTTTCAAGAACTCATCAATGGACTCCTTTAGTTTACTTGAAGTTGTTTCGGTAACATGTTGGACTCGCACAAACCTTTCAATTACTTGACCTTTGTTGTCCACATAACGCAAAATCACCGCCATTTGCTCCTTTGTTGAAATATCACGTGATTCATCTACCATTATAGAAAAGAATTTACTCTCTTTCACTTCTTTCATAATAGCCTTAATAGTTTCGAAGGCACATGAATTGACAATATCTTTTTGAATTGAAGGAGCTATTAGCTTGAGATTTCCCGGAGCATTTTCCAACACAACTTCCTTTATTTTCTCATCATGATCCGCATGGAATTGCAAGAGCTCTAAATAATTCCCCATATTATTCGAAGTGTCACTTTCATCGCAGCCACAAAAAGGAAGGCCTTGTCGCAACAAGAACTTAGTGCAATCTATTGATGCATTCAAGCAAAGACGATATTTCATACACTCTTCTTCTGATTGTTTGATCACAACTGCTTCAATATGTGTCTTTTGGTTCATTAGATAACTAGCCGCTTCTCTAGCTTTATTGTGGAAACTACCAATAGGACCAACATGTTTGTCAAAACATTCTCTTGCATTCTTCCATTTCTTAAAGCCTACCCCAGTGAAGGCATCGCTTCCTAATTGTGAAAAATTGATTTTAAAGAGATAGCAATGAAGACAAAATGCCGCATCTTTAGATATACTATACTCCAACCAATCATATTCTTCAAACCACGAAACAACAAATCGTCGCTTTTTCTTTGCATGCAAAGTGTATCGGAACTCATACTTTGTAGGCCTACAAGGTCCCATTTGCAAATATGCTCTGCGGACCTCATCTTGAATATTAGAAGGATAGTCCTTCATTCGAATTCTTTTTCCCGGGTCTCTCTCAAGATTATTAAAATCAATGTCATACTCATTTTGTCTTGAGCTCGAACTACCCGAACAAGTAGATGGTGCTATTGGCTTTGGCTTGAAAAATCTTTCCATATTTCTTATTTCTAAACTACACATTTAACCAAAAACACAAAACATATACCAATCAACCAATAAACAAAAATTCCATCTAAATTTCAATTATAAAATGAGTATACAAACATAAAACATATCAACAATCATATCAATAATAGACTAAAAATCTCCACCAATATCTAATATAATTTAATTAAGATTAGATTAGAATACCAAAAAAGTTACTTGAATTTGGAACCAAATAGTGGTGGCTTGGAGAATTGAAACAAGTGGAGGTATAATATTGGAGTAATGTAATTATAATATGGGATTGGGTGGGATTAGAAATTTAGGGTTTTGGGTGAATATAAGAAAGATGGGGGGATTAGGGGGAAAAGCAGTGGAACAGGGAAAGGAGAAGTGAAAGGGACTCTCGGGACATTCATGTGGGGCTAGACTTTCAAAAAGATTATGTAATCATGTTGCAAATGGTGGACCAATTGTAAACGTTTGTCTCATTGGTTTAACAAAAAAAAAAAAAAAAAAAAAAAAAAAGGAAAAAAAAGGGCCAAAACACTGCGTTTTGGACCAATTTTTTTAAATGCCCTGTTTTCTTTCTTCTCCCCTGTTGTCTTCTTCTCCGTTGCAACCTGCAACCTACTGCTGCAGCAACACAGACAGTCTGCACAGGCCTCGTGTTCGAGTACGAGGGGTCCTCCGGAAAATTTCTAGCAGCATTTTAGGATGGCCGAGGGGTCCTGGGACCTCCCAGGTCCCTCTGTAGATCCGTCTCTGGTCACCTCCACGTGACAGCTAGTACGCCCTGATTTCGGTCAGGGTGTGTCAGAAGGACTTCTTTACTAACAATTGTAAAATTATTAGAGATTGGTGCAACCCTTTCTTCGTGGAGCCTATACGACTCTTGGGCTTGCAATGTGTTTAGTCCTCATGATTAGGGTCTAGGGGACGTTTGTTTGCCCTTGCTAGCTTTCATTGGACTAAACTGGATTAGATATTAGTTAGTCTGTGTTTGTTGCCTTCCAGTACTAGCTTTAATGTGACTAACGAGGACTCGCCTCACCTAAAGAACTCGTTAGACTGTCTAAGGGAGAGCCCCTAAACCATGGACTCCATAAGAGCCTTTCTACGCTAAAAAGCCCCTCGAGCAATAGGCAATTCAATCCTCCCAAGTGAATACTAACTGTCTTTAGTGAACAATAACTACCCTAGTGCGTCTTCACTCCTAAACTAAATAGGTTAGGCAATTTGTATTAAAATATTATTAAACTATTTTATAAAATAATAAAAGATAAATTGTTTTATTTTATTTAGGATGATAATAAAAGATTGATTGGAAGTATTTGAAAATATTGAAATGTGGTGTAAGGTGGAAGAACATGGTTAGGTATTAATAGAAAAATAAATTATTATTATTATTATTATTGTTATCTTATATTTTTTGTATTTTAATTAATTTTTAAGATTTTTTTAATAATTTTTTGTAGTTTTAATTAATTTTTTTAGATGACAACCTTGCATCACATGGCCTAGGACTAAGTTAGGAGATTTTAGCCTAGGTGAGCAGAATGGGTTGGAGGAGTTTTGTGGGAGGGAGGGGATTTATAGGGGTGTATTCAATTGGGATTTAAAGAGATTTTAATTCTTTTAATTAATCTAGGAGTATTCAATTAGGATTTTCAGCCTGTATTCAATCAGGATTTTAAGATAGTTTATTAAAATCCTTAGAAATCTGAGGGTATTCAATTAGGATTTTAAAGAAGTTTATTTCTAGGTGTTAGGAATTTGTTTTAAAGAATTTTAAAAAGATGAGGAATTTGAGAGAATTTGAGAGATTTCATAGTGTACTTTAAGCATTCCCAAATCTCACATCCTCCCTTGAGATTTCGAGGAAATTGAATCAAAATTTTACATAGAATATCTAAAAATCAATTAAACTCCATCAAATTCTATGGATATATAAGTCCAATAAAATACCATAAAATCTCAACAGAATGCACTCTCCTTAATTCACTATCCTCTAGGAGATTTGAGAGGGGAGGAAGTGCTCTAAGACCCTTGCTCCGTCATGTTCTCTTCTCGTGTCCTCTCCTTTGCACCTCGTCCCGAACCCAAAATCATGAACAAGGCCTTAGATTTGAACCTCAATCGAAGAACCCACAAGCTTCGTCGTCTGATTCATCTCAAACTCGACCTCGATTTTCAACAAAATGGGCTTTGGGCTCCGTCCTTCTCGACCTGTTAAACTGCTTTATCTTCGACAAAGACCGCATCGACTATGTCATCTCCGTCATTTGCTTCACATTTGGGGGTTTTATAAAAAAAAAACCAAAAATGACATCGAGTATGTATTGAATTTTCTATCTCTGTATCATAATTTTTGTTTTAAAATTCTTTTTTTTATAAATTTTTACAAATTTATCTGTGAATTTGGTGGTAGAATTTGTGCAAGGCTTTTTATATTAGCATCCCACAAAATGTTGGATGCACCCATTAAAATGTAATATTAATGATTTTTTTACCCTACTATGCAATGAGAATTTTGACCCTATTAGGTTAAAAAAATAAAAAAAAAAATTCTAAATACACCCCAAATCACTTTTTACGTATTATTTGACTTCTTCAACTATCAAAACCCCTCCCACCATTCATTGTTGAATAAAACCCTAACCAATGAAACTACAAACATGTTGAATTATTTTCGAAAACTTCACATGAGGTAAGACTTCATATTTTTTGTTGTTTTAGTGATTTCGACGACATCAATAATTATTCAATCTTGGTTTTGTTGCGTTATTTAAGCTTCTATGTTCATATTCATCTTTTAGCGATCACAGGGATTACATGAAGAATTAAACACCTAAAATTACCACCTAATATTAAAAATAGACAACATGGGTTTTAATGGTGGAATTGAAATAAACCCACATATGCTTAAATCCCAAGCAACATCTTTTGTCAAAATTCCAGTCAGCATTTTTTGTCAAATAAGAAGCTTTATTGATTATTTGCATAAGACTAACAGAGCATAAGACTATGCCCCCTTTACCGATTAAAGTATTAGACTAATATTGATATTGAGTTGTATGATGATTCTTAGCAAATATATGAGGTGTATGATTCTTAGTAAATAAACGAGGATTTGATACAAATTTTTGGTGTATTTAAACAGGATAGCATATAAGGCAATGGTTGTATGATTCTTAGAAACTAAACTAAAATATATTCAATGCCAGGCAAGGGTACATTTTTAAAAAGAAGACTTTTTTAATGGTGATTTTCAACTAGGCAATGGTTGCAAGTGAATATAGCATGGCCATGTTCTTTTGGGAGATCATGAACTGATTGCAGAGTGAAGGCAAAAGCCATGGCCCCGAAGTCTTACTCCATCTCATAATTCAAGAATTAGCACTTATGAATCTTATAATTCAAAAACCATGGCCCCCAAACTGTTGCGCTATTCTAAGATGCTTTCTTGCAGGTCGACTTGGTTTGACCAAAATATGCACAAGAAAATGGAAACAACATGGTAACTTTGAAATCATTATTATGTTATTGAAAAACGTTCAAATGAACCTAAACATTCTTCCAATCATTCAATTTGAAATCATTTGGCAAACTAACGTTCAGATGGTTTGAAATCATTCAGCAAAATTAAAAATGAGTGTTATAAAATTTGAGAAATGTGGTGTATGTAGAAAATGTAAGATGTATATTGAGAATGTGGGGTGTGAGGTATTATGGGGAACAAAGTGGAGTGTATTAAGATAATTTTTAATTGAAAAAGTAAATATGGGGTGTATTCATGTGAGGTTTATTCAACAATTTGTAGGGTGTTAATATAATAAGCCTTTGTGTAAATTGCTGTCATTATGTTATGGATGTTTAGCAAAATGAGCATAACCGTCAAAAGATTTGCAGTTTTTGCAATTTTTTTAGCAAAATGGGTATATATTTTGATGTGCTTACATGTTCATGGCCAAATTGTTATTAGTGATTGCCGCCTATGATTACTGTTTTTTTTTTAGCTAAACATTTCTTCACATCATTCGGTTTGCTTCTGTTTATATCCAATCTCATAAGCCAACTTGTTTCATGCTCAAAATCACTCTAGATCTCACGCCTTCGTGCAATTGCAGCCAATGGAGGAAAACTAAGAAAATTTTGTAGGGACATTGCTCTCTAGCTCGGTGAGAGGTACAATTGTTTGTGTAAGAGCTGCATTATGCTTTGTATGTATTTTAGAATTGTTGGAGAACAATTTAGAAACAAAAATAACAGAAATACAGAACTTGAAATACTTATACTTTATTACTTAAAACTACTTGTAATACAGAATGAAATTACACAATAAATACAGAAATTAAAATGATACTAACTTA